GATATTTTTTTTGAAAATAGCCTGCTATGATCGAAACCAAAAATGCTTTAAATTGCATTTTAAAACATTTCTAGGTATTATAAATGATATAGAATGCCAATATAGATACAAAATCGATATTTTTTTTGAAAATAGCCTACTATGATCGAAACCAAAAATGCTTTAAATTGCATTTTAAAACATTTCTAGGTATTATAAATGATAAAGTATGCTAATATAGATACAAAATCTATATTTTTTTTGAAAATAGCCTACTATGATCGAAACGAAAAATGCTTTAAATTGCATTTTAAAACATTTCTAGTAATTATAAATGATAAAGAATGCTAATATAGATACAAAATCGATATTTTTTTTGAAAATAGCCTACTATGATTGAAACCAAAAATGCTTTAAATTGCATTATAAAACATTTCTAGGTATTATAAATGATATAAAATGCTAATATAGATACAAAATCGATATTTTTTTTGAAAATAGCCTACTATGATCGAAACCAAAAATGCTTTAAATTGCATTTTAAAACATTTCTAGGTATTATAAATGATATAGAATGCCAATATAGATACAAAATCGATATTTTTTTTGAAAATAGCCTACTATGATTGAAACCAAAAATACTTTAAATTGCATTTTAAAACATTTCTAGGTATTATAAATGATAAAGTATGCTAATATAGATACAAAATCGATATTTTTTTGAAAATAGCCTACTATGATCGAAACCAAAAATGCTTTAAATTGCATTTTAAAACATTTCTAGGTATTATAAATGATAAAGTATGCTAATATAGATACAAAATCTATATTTTTTTTGAAAATAGCCTACTATGATCGAAACCAAAAATGCTTTAAATTGCATTTTAAAACATTTCTACGTATTATAAATGATAAAGAATGCTAATATAGACACAATATCGATATTTTTCTTTTTAAAAATAGCCTACTATGATCAAAACCAAAAATGCTTTAAATTGCATTTTAAAACATTTCTAGGTATTATAAATGATAAAGAATGCTAATATAGATACAAAATCGATATTTTTTTTGAAAATAGCCTACTATGATCGAAACCAAAAATGCTTTAAATTGCATTATAAAACATTTCTAGGTATTATAAATGATATAGAATGCTAATATAGATACAAAATCGATATTTTTTTTGAAAAAAACCTACTATGATTGAAACCAAAAATGCTTTAAATTGCATTTTAAAACATTTCTAGGTATTATAAATGATAAAGAATGCTAATAAAGTTACAAAATCGATATTTTTTTTGAAAATAGCCTACTATGATCAAAACCAAAAATGCTTTAAATTGCATTTTAAAACATTTCTAGGCATTATAAATGATATAGAATGCCAATATAGATACAAAATCGATATTTTTTTGAAAACAGCCTACTATGATCGAAACCAAAAATGCTTTAAATTGCATTTTAAAACATTTCTAGTAATTATAAATGATAAAGAATGCTAATATAGATACAAAATCGATATTTTTTTTGAAAATAGCCTACTATGATTGAAACCAAAAATGCTTTAAATTGCATTATAAAACATTTCTAGGTATTATAAATGATATAGAATGCTAATATAGATACAAAATCGATATTTTTTTTGAAAATAGCCTACTATGATTGAAACCAAAAATGCTTTAAATTGCATTTTAAAACATTTCTAGGTATTATAAATGATAAAGAATGCTAATATAGATACAAAATCGATATTTTTTTGAAAATAGCCTACTATGATCGAAACCAAAAATGCTTTAAATTGCATTTTAAAACATTTCTAGGTATTATAAATGATAAAGTATGCTAATATAGATACAAAATCTATATTTTTTTTGAAAATAGCCTACTATGATCGAAACCAAAAATGCTTTAAATTGCATTTTAAAACATTTCTACGTATTATAAATGATAAAGAATGCTAATATAGACACAATATCGATATTTTTCTTTTTAAAAATAGCCTACTATGATCAAAACCAAAAATGCTTTAAATTGCATTTTAAAACATTTCTAGGTATTATAAATGATAAAAAATGCTAATATAGATACAAAATCGATATTTTTTTTTGAAAATAGCCTACTATGATCGAAACCAAAAATGCTTTAAATTGCATTTTAAAACATTTCTAGTAATTATAAATGATAAAGAATACTAATATAGATACAAAATCGATATTTTTGTTGAATAAAATACTTTATAAAAAAAACTTTTTAAAAAAACTACGTTTTTCGCGTAGACTAAAAAGTAGAAAATAACCTTTATTCTTGGTTGTAAAGAATTTGGTTTTAAATTTTCAGATTATATTTAATATATTTTTATATCCTGGTCAATATTGTTCACAAAGTTTCGAATAAGTGCACCTTGATCTTATCGTATAACTCAGCAACTTAAAAACGTGGGCGCATTAATTTAAGTTTATCATGAAGTATTGATTTCACATAAACTTCTCCTCTTATAATGCAATTTAAAGCATTTTTGGTTTTGATCATAGTAGGTCATAGTGTATCTATATTAGCATTCTTTATCATTTATAATACCTAGCAATTTAAAGCATATTTGGTTTCGATCATAGTAGGCTATTTTCAAAAAAATATCGATTTTGTATCTATATTAGCATTCTTTATCATTTATAATACGCAGAAATGTTTTAAAATGCAATTTAAAGCATTTTTGGTTTCGATCATAGTAGGCTTTTTTCAAAAAAAAAACTAGTAATGAAGCCGATCACGCTTCATGGGAATATTCACACAATCCTATAGAACTCTCTATGAATTGTTCAGAAAATATTGAAAGATCTTCTCTCAATTAAATGTAAAACTTAAACTAAACATTTTACTGTATTATCAACAAAGTAAACAATGCCTTAAAACACGTTTTACAACGAAAATAATGGTTCCAGATTCGCAAAAAATACAATACTTAAAATTATAAATATGAACAATACGAGTTATGTAGAAAGCCATTAACTCTCTTATGTAGATCAGACTTCAACATAGGTTACAGTCTTGGATAGTTTTGCAACTTCCGCTTCGCTCCAGTTGCTGCTCCGCAGTCAGTCTCTTATGTAGATCAGACTTCAACATAGGTTACAGTCTTGGATAGTTTTGCAACTTTTTTCACTTAAATTACTGCTCTTAGTCGATCTTTTATGAAGATCAGACTTTAACATAGCTTACATTTTCATTAGTGTTAAATAAACCAACCAATCACCTCGAAGATCCCTAGTATTAAAAACAACAATTTATAAAACACTATAGCATATAAACATTATTTAAATCATTAATGCATCCACATTATCTATCCCTCCATTTCGTTCCTGCAACTGATAATAGATAATAGTGGTGTTGTTCACTTTTATTACGGATTGACATTTTGGTATGATGATAAAAAAAATTAATTAGATTATTTTAAATTATGTTGAGCGTCTTGAACACACTTTCTTTTTTTTATTTTCCTTAAAATACATGATTTTAGTAAAACACAAAAGAAATTTTACTGTGGACCATCATCATCATCTTTTGCTTCTTAGTTACATTTGTTAATATATCAAACTTTACTAGTTTTAATGAATTTATTTGGAATAAAGAGTCAAGAACGGTTCCATCAAGATGAGACAATACGAGAACTTCTATGTTCTTCAAAACTTTTAATAAATTTGTTAAATTTTGATTCAAATTATCAGTGGTTGCATAAAACCCTTCAATGCTTAAACTTGTGATAGACAAATTTAGTGAGTAAACATGGCTCTCAAAAGGAGCATACGCACATCTTAATACTTTTAAAGTTTTTAAATTTGGAAACAGAAGAAAAGTTGCCATATCTTCGAATGTTACTTCTCCATATTGTATCATGGCTAATGTCGTTTGATTTTTAATTAATAAATCTCTCACGTTTTTGGAAGGCTTAGAATATCCAGTGTATAAAAAAGTGGTTAATCTAAAATTGTACTGATTTGTAAAGTAAATGTTAAGGACTTCTGCGTCCTCGAGACATAAATATTTTAAATTATTTAGTTTAAGCAAAAATTCTGCAACGAATTTGATATCATTGCTATCAGATGAAATAAATTTAAGATTCTCAATTGTTTCTATATTACTTAATAAACCATCGTGGTTGATACCATTACTTAGCTTTCTTAATTCATCCATCATTAAGAAAGATACATCTTTTAACTTTGGAAGTGGAGATGTGAAAAAAATGTCACAGGTGGTGGAAATGGATACAATAGAATCAGAATAATAATTTAAAATTATTCTACATTTATGTTGTATAATACTATCATAATTAGACATTGAGAATTGTAAATGTTGATATTTCCGATGAAGAATTTGTGTATTAGTGATAATTTTCACTACATCGTTTAAATTAAATGATGTTATATTCAGCTTTATTTTCTTCATTGATCTACCACAAGTTCCTATGCAATTATTCCAGCTTTTAGATAAAGTAAAAAGATTCTTAATGTCATCATAGGTAAGAAGATCGATAATTTTGCAAATAATTTCAGTAGGAATGAAATTAAAAGGTTCCATATTGCCTGTAAAGATTTGTTAAATTTAATAAAAGCATTGAAAGTTGCAATCAATCTTTATTGATATCACTTGGCGATTATAGACTAACTTACATTATTTTCCTCGTTTAATAATTAATTACCAGCATTTAAGCACACAAATAAATTAACAGCACTAAGGAGAAATGTAAACAGTCACTTTTCTGAAGTCATCTAAATACTTAAGGTTGAAGGTTGATACGAAAATTAATGATTGAAAGCTATTAATGCTCAAGTCAAGTTTATGCATTAATAATTTAATAAATGTATTTCAAATGAGTATAATAAAGATCCTTTTATGAATGGATGTATCTAAAACTCTTTTAAATATTATGTTCTAATTTCTGAGTGCTAAATTTCAAGGATGAGATTTTGTGGCATATTTTTGCGTCCTTTGTTCCTTTGTTTTGAGTCCTAAAATTTTATGTTGAAGTTCTTTTCAATCGAGGATTCAAGCAGTAAACATGGCTGATAATATTACAGGTGAATATTTTTTTTTTCATCGTTAAAAGATGAATAATTAACAATTTTGTATCGGATATTACGTAGTTCAAGATTTAAAACAATTTATGGCTGAAATAGCTACAAATTCCACAAACCAAATGGACACTTTCCGTAAGGAATGCATGGATCTATTTTCACAAAATGAGACAAGAACAATGGATTTCATTAATGAGAGATTAAATTCTGTATTGATTGATGAAAGTGTCGGAAATAAGGGAGATGGAGAAAATCTAGATAAACTGACAGATGCAATTATGAAGGAAGTCGATGACCTAACCAATATTCCTAAAAATTTACTTCCGGGAATTTCACCAGTTTCAGGAACCTGCACCAAGCTTCCATCTACTTCCACGTCATCATTATACAATCTGCGTCCATCAATTTTATCTTCTAGCCAACAAAACTCAAATGTTCCGCTTCCAGTTAATTTTGACCCATGCTGTTTGGAATTAATTGAATGCAGAAGCAGCAATAAAGCCTTCAAAGCCTCGGAACTAATGGTAAAATCTTTTAAAAATTCAGTTCTATTTTTATCCAATTTTAATTAATATATTTTTTCTTTCAGGGCTCATTCAATGGATACTTTATTGAAAAAGCAGTTTCAAATTTAGCAGAAGCTATTAAAGACTACGCAAGAATAATGACGAACGTCAGAAGATGCCAATTCAGTTTAAAATGTGCTGCGCAAGATTTCATCAGTACGTATGATGCAAATAAGGAAGTAGTAGAAACTTATTTCCCACCTGAGTATTCGGCAAAAATAAAAAAAGCCATTAATGGCACTATTAGGCGTTATGCAAAAAGTGATGACCCACCAAAAGTCATTCCACATTCTGCTTTTCGCAAAAATTACAAGAAAAAAAATAATTATTTCAAGAATAATTATAATTAAAATGTGAAGATTAGCGAAATTTTATAAATAAAATAAAATCATTTAAATTGTATCACTTAAGGCTTTTCTTATTTTCTTTTTTAATTTCAGTTCACATAAAATATGTTGAATTAAAATGCATGCGACCAATGAAGAGGCTAAGACATGGAAGAGTTTAGACACTTATAAACTAAAAAGCTGAAAATTGAAATATATCACTGAAGAGTTTGATAGAATTGCATGATTTTGAATTAAATCTAAGGATTTAAAAACACGTAAAAAAATTGTAATTGAATGATTTATTTATATCAATGGATTAAATTTAATCCATGGATTTAATTTTTTTTAATCTATAGATTTATCTTAAAGTACTTCTAATAATAATTAAATCTAATATTCATCAAGATGTCGATATACTCATACTCACTTTTTATTACATGTCCTTAAGCATCATCTGTGTTCTTTTTAATCGACGACTTTACAGCAACCAGTTCCTTACAATATTAATTTAAATTAAGTAATTTGTATAATTATTAGTCAGCTTTTGCTGCTCTTTCAACTTTTCAAGCACAAAAATTGACATTTTCGTACCTCATTTTTTAATCTTATATCTTATTAGTTCCTTTTCTTTTGTGGACTTGAAACATGCAGCAAATAATTGGAAATCCGCATTACTTCCATCCTGGCTGTACATTCACTTTTCAAATATCCCATAAAACTCATGTTGGAAGCTTTATTGCGTACTGCTAATTTCCTTTAAAGAATCAACAAAGTTAAGTGTATTTTGCATTCGATTCCATTTGTGCATTCAAATCAGCCACAATAATATCTCGATTTTTTTATGATGTTCTTCCAACTGCTGAATTTCATCCTTCACATTATCAATAGTTTTTGATTTGATGCATGTTCTTCCTTTTCGTCGACGGATGTTTTCAAGCAATGATTTTGTACCTTCTGATGCCTCTTCGGCAATTTTCATAATTTCTTTTGTCTGTTCTGTCAAATTCGCAATTTCTTTTAGTTTTTGTCAGTTCTGATCCAGCTGGTTCATACTTTCATTCTGTCATAACTAATTGTTCAGCAGTAACTGCCAAATTCTGTTTTGTTTCTTCAAAAAGCATCATTTTTGTAATTCCTTCTCAGTTTTTTCCATTTTATAGACCATGTCATTGTAAGAATCCGTTGGCAAATAAATTCCATTTCTCTCACGAGCAGCCAGCAAATCTCGCTTTATGTCACAAGATATCGTTGCAATAATTGACGTCTTTGTTCGTCCACCAAGACTTTCTTGGAATAATCTTGTCAACTTTGATTCACGATATGGAACGTGTGGAGCTCTTTCAACTAATGCAGTAATGACACGACCAAGAGTTAAAAGTGATTGATTAATATTGACTGACTCTCGAGTACGAATTCCTTTCTCATTTCCAGCTTTTGATATATTTTCACTTCCAGCCAAGTCAACGAGATTAATTGAAAATACTGTATGAGATTGAAAACTTTAAGCATTCACTAATTTTGCTGCTGTTTTTCTTCTTTTCTGTCCTTTTGCGAGTAGTTTTATAGACATCATCGTTAGATCTATCAGGAATTTCCTCCAGTCCTTGAACAGTAACTGACCCTTTCTTATTGGTATCAACAAAAAGTCACATTGTCATCTGTTGGCAATAAATCGCAAAGTTCCTCATTATAAAGCTCCAAATATGAAACAATCGTTGCAAATTCACTTTTATCGAGTCGCAGTTTATCAAACAGATGAGAAAGAGCTCGGAGAATCATTCCACATTGCTGACATGCTCATATTGTAACTACAGCAGTGATTGATTCAGCCATTGCGTACGTTTTACCAGTTCCAGTCTGCAATAAATTAATGATAATTAGTATACAAAGGATCATAAAACTAAGCATATATTACCTGTCCATAAGCAAATACATACACTTGTATCCATCAGTAACTTCCTTAATTAACAATGCAGCACCTGTCTGATGTTATCATGCTAAATAAAATTAAAGTTGAAAATATGATAATTAGTAAATAGGCATGAAACTAGTTACTCTGGATGTTATACACTTAATCACCATAAAAAAGATTCAGAATAGAACCATCCAGGATTGAAAATAATTTTTTCAAGAACTTACACGATATTGAGTTACAATAGCAACCAACTATTGATCCTTTTTGGTTGGCAGTATGCTCTTAATTAATGAAATTCGGCAATCGAGCGTAGAAATAGAAAAATTCAAAAACATATGTTTTATGAGATATGAAAACCAAATTAGGAAAAAATGATTAAAAACCACCAGAAGTATTAGTATTTATTACTCACCATGCAGGATCTTGCGTTCAAATTCCTTTTTAACCAATAAACAGTCTAAATTTTAATTAAGTTAACTTTTTACTCACTGTTGAAAATTTTAAAAATGTAAACAAAGAACAAAAATACAACGAATATTTGAATTTTAACAAGCGGTTAGAATGATAAATAGAATTAAGGCTTTTCCGGTTTTGATGAGTTTTAAGAACATAGAATAAGTGTTTATGCTTGAAAAAATATTGATCCTAAGCCTGCATAATCTAATGTCAACTAAGAACGCATTTTTCGACTGAATTATATTTTTTAGACTTTTTTCTTTTCATTTATCATTGAGATATTGAAGCATCAACAAGCAAATCTTTCTGCTGAATTTTATAATTAAAAATAAAACACCTTTTGTTGGCTTACATCTTGAATCAACTTTTTACGTTTTTTCTAGATTGATTAAACTTTTTGAGGCTTTAATATTTCGGAAAACTGCTTTTATCAAAGCAAAAAATTAAGTAATTTGAAGAATTATTTTTACTTTTAGTAAAAGCCTTCATTTTCTTGAAAAAGAATTGCTATTCCAGTTTCTATAAAGATAATTATATTGCGAATATAAAGTCCGAAAAGACGCTATAAACTTCTTTATATCTGAAACTCATAGAAGTCCGAAAAGACGTTATAAACTTCATTCATTCGCTTGAATTTTGTCCGAAAAGACGATAAAACTTCTTTATATCTGGAACTTATATAAGTCCGAAAAGACGTTAAAACTTCACATATTCGCTTGAATTTTGTCCGAAAAGACTTAAACTTCACTTGAACCAGAGTATTTTTAAAATATGCCTAAAGTTAAGAAGCAGTCTATTAAGACTAAAACTGAAAAAGATAGATCTTTTAAACGAGAAAAAATGCATTATGAAGAATTTAAGGAAGAAAATAGAAAAAGGGCAAAACACGGTATGGAACACAAAAGATATACTGATGAAGATTTTGCAGCATTACAGAAGGCTCAATGTGCGAAGATCATGAAAAAGAAAAGAGAAAATAATGAAGACTTTGCAAAATCGTCAAAAGATAAATCTGCGAATATTATGAAGAATAAACGAGAAAATATGGAGGGGTTTTCAGAATGGTCAAAAGTTCAATCTGCTGAGAGCATGAGAAAAAAGCGCAAAGTTGTTGAAAAACGTGAAGAAGAAAAAGAGAAAGATCGTTTGGCAAAACAAACTTTAAAGGAAGAACGTGAAAAAAAGAAACAAGAAAAGGCTGAGAAGGTTGCAGAACAAAGAGAATTACGAATGAATTTATTCTACAAGTGTAGGGAAACTTTTATGAACGATTTGAAAGAAATCAAATTGAATAAAAATCTGAGACATACGCAAGAAGAAATCAGTTCTGCTAAACGATGCATAGATTTTATTAATCAGATTCGAGAAGTTCCTAGCAGAGTATGTTGTTGCTGTGAAGGTCTTTTTTTTAAAAACTATACAAAATCTTTCAATGAACATACTTTATTCATTAAATATTGCAAAAAATTGGGAGAATTTAAGAAGGAAGGAAAATCTGACAAATACGATAGAATAGAGTTTAATAATACAAGAGAATTTACAGAATACATAACAGGTTTTAATTCTGAATTTTTATGCACGACGTGCCTTAAAAATCTCGAGAATGGTCAAATTCCACTTATTAATCCTCATTGTGGCATTAAAGTTCCTGAAATTCCTAAAGAAATTGAAGAATTAACTGATTTTATGGAGAGGTTAGTTTCACCTGTACTGCCATTCATGCAAATAAGAGAACTGCAACCATATGCAGTTAATCCACAGTTAGGAATTAAAGGATCAGTTATTAATATTATTCCAGGAACAGAAAAAATGCTTCACGTTCTTCCAAGAAAATTTAATGAAACAAATATTATTCAATTAAAATTAAAAAGAGATATGAGCCATAAAACTGATTATATGTTTGAAACATTTTCAGTCGCCAAACTGATGAAAGCATTGACTATTTTAATAAATACTCCTTTATACCAAGATTACAAAATTCAAATTAATGAAAAGAATTTTGAAGAATATGATCCTAATTGTACTGGCACACAGGTAAATTTTGTTATAGATGATGGCAACATAGATCAAGAAAAAAATGTAAATGATGATGAAAATGAATCAGCCACCAACAAAACTAGTTTGAATATACAGAAAATGAATGTTGATGAAGATATGATGAATTATGAAAATGTTAACCCTCAATTTATAAGAAAATCTCCTGAAAAACTCCATGTTGAAACAAACCCAATTGAAATGGATGTAGAAATGCTTTTGGAAAACTTAAATACCAAAATTTCCTCCACTGATGATGCGTATCAGTTTAAAATATTTGATAATGGAATTAAAGCAACATGTTTTGATGTTTCTAACTTCCAATTTACTTTATTATGTGCCTTCAATTCAGTTTTTCATGGTTTTAATGCTTCTTATAGATTAAATAATGATTTTCATAGATTTATTGAAGAGAAAAAAGATTTGATTAGTTACTTCAAATTAATATCTGAAATTTCTAATAATTCTGATAAAAATGCAAGGAATCAATTGTACATTAAATTTCTGTTCGAAAAATCTTTTGCTGGATTGAAAATTGATGATAAAGAAGTTAAAAAACAATGTAAAACTATGGAATATGATAGTGGAATTATTTTGGAAAATTTTCTTTCTCTTGATGGTATTACTACACTTCTTCCTTCATATAAAAAATTTGCTAGATGCAACAAGCTAGATTGTAACGGCATATCGTCTAATTTCATTGAAAACTCATTGATTTATGTTCAACTAAACGAATTTGAAAATTTAAATGAATATATTGGTGATAAGGTACGAATAGCTACGAATACAATATCAGAAAGTGATATGTTTTTCGCAAGTGACAAGTGCTAAAGGATTATTAATGCTCCAAAAAGTGAGACAAATGATAGTGATATTATTAGAAATAATATAAGATGTTTAACAGAATATGAAGATTTGTTGATAATCAACGTTCAGAATTATAAGCGTGATTCGTTTAATGAGCACATTATGCAGTTAGATCCTTTTAACGATATTCCTTTGACATTTTACGCCAACAATGATGAGTATCAGTTGCTTTTTTTTGTGCATAAAGATATAGGTCACTACACATCATATTACTATAAGACAGAAGATGAGATTATTTTAATTGATGACCTGCACATAAGTCATGAATTTTTGAATAGATCCAATATAAATAAAAATGTCAATCCAAACTTACTAATTTATTTTAAGAAACCAAAAACACAAGATGTTTCAATAGATATTTCATTCGATGTTCAAAGATCAACAGATGTTAACTTAAATAAATTCTTGTCTAATGATATTTCTCGATTGAAAGAATTATTTTCTGCTGTGGATATTAATGGTGGTTTTAAATCTGATGAATCAATTTCGAGTGTTGATACTGAAATGATGGAGGATATTGAAAATGAAGAAAAATTGTACGACGGAAAAGAAGAATTGCCTCCAGATAATCAGTTGGAAGATATTTTAATGTTTAAAGATTTTAAAGTTGATGATATGTTACAAGGTAATTTGGAAATTGATGTAAAAATAGATAAAAGTATTTTATTGAATGATCAAGTGAAAGCATTTGCACCTGGACAGGGAAAACAGCCTGTACCATCACAAAATATACAAAATTATGATGAAATTTGTTTTCCGAAAACGTATGGAGGTCATAAAATGACTTATGATAGGAAAAAAATAAGGTTCACAAGAGTTATTCGAGCAGAGTTAAGACATCACAAAAGAAAGCGTAGTCGACCGGTTCTCATTTTGTTCAAAGTAAAAGAAAAATATAAAAGGGATTTAAAAAATAGAATTTCTATAGCAATAAGAAAAACAACAAAAGGGAAACATATGACTGCAAAAGATGTTCGAGATGGAAAGTCTATAGATGATCACATTAAAAATAATATTGCATATTTAATACTATCAACTATTAGATCTAGCCCTATGTACTTTAAAAGAGGAAGAACAAATGCATTGGCTATGTTAAATCAGTTAAACTACCCTACAATATTTTTTACTTATAGTATGGCAGAAAGTTTTTCTCCTGAATTATTACAACAAATGCATAAAAACATTTATGGTAAAGAAATTAGTTTATTAGAGGCTTTGCAAATGACTCCAGCAGAAAAAGCAAAATTAGTTAGAGAAGATCCAGTCTCTTGTGCTGAATTTTTTAATCATAGACTTAATAGTTTAGGGACATATGCAGGAGATGCTAAAGGTAGTGGTCTGTTGGGTAAAAATTATGTCACAAATTTCATTCGTCGAAAGGAAGCTCAAGGAAGAATAGTCATCAAATATGGTGGTGACAAGATGCTCCTAGATTAAATATTTTTGAATCAGATGAAAAATTAAGAGAAGCTAATGAAAAAGAAGTCATTGATTTCATAGATGAAACTATTTCCACAGAATTTATTGAAGATCATCCTAATATTCATTTTCATGTTCATAACTGTACACATTCATGCTATAAAGGGAAAAAAGGTAAAGTAAAAAAATGTCGATTTAATTTTCCTCATTTTGTTTCTAATAAAACTAAAATAGTTTATCCAATTCCATTAAAAGAAAGAACCGAAAAAATGATGAAAGATTTAATTAAAATAAAAGAAAAAATGAAACAATACAAGAAAACTCGTGAACAGCAATCCTTTGAAGATATGTTGAAAGAATTAGACTTGAACGAGGATGATTATTTTAATGCTGTTCGATGTGCATACAAAAGAATTGATGTATTATACAAACGAGAAAGTAACGCCGTTAGTATAAACACTTATATTAAAAAACTACTAGATACATGGGAAGGAAATCATGATGCTCAATATATTCCCGATCCTTATGGATTTGTTTATTATTTGTCAAAATACTGTCTTAAAGCTGACGAAGGAATGTTAGACATGATGAGAAGAGCAGCAGAAGAATGTAAAGAAGGAAATAAAATTGTAATAGAAAGTATGGCTAAAATTGCTGGCATATTTCTCGGTACTTCCTTCATAGGTGCTCAACAAGCGGTTGAAGAAATATTAGGATTTGCAATACTTAAGTTTAGTAATGTTGTATTTTTCATAAACACGAATAGACCAGAAAAACGAGTGCATATGAGAAAAAGCAAAGCAGAACTTGAACAAATGGATGATGATGATGAAGATATCACCATTCCTGGTTTTATTGAAGAATATGAAAACCGCCCAACAGAATTGGATGAGGTATGTCTTGCTGACTTTGCTGCGCTTTATAAAAAGGAGGGACAAAAAGAGTACGCTGATAGTGAAGATGAAACCGACAATGAACATGATGATGATGATAATGAAAATAATAATCAAAGCAAAAAAAAAAAGAAAATCATTTCCAAAAAAATATGTTCTACGAACAAGAGAAAGAATCATTAGGTATGTCGGTTTTAAAGAAGAAATGAACGAATTAGAATATTTTCGTGAAATGGTCATGCTATTTCTGCCTTGGAGGCACGAAGAAGATGACATTTTGAATGCGGATACAAAAGAAATATTCAAATCAAACCGCAAAGTTATTTTGGAAAAATATGCTCATTATAATTCTATTGGCCCGGAAAAATTAGAAAAACTTTTAAAAGAAGTTGAAGAAAACTTAAAAGATTTAAACGAAAAGGAAATCAGAAGATTCTATGATTTACAAGAGGTAGATAAACATTTGATTCCAAAAGTCGATGTTTTTGATGAGTTAGGAATAACCAGAAACTTAGATGCAAAACCTACAGCAAAGAAAGATGTTAATTCGTATGTTTTAACAAAACCTTCTAAAATTAATCTACAAGAATTATGTGAAAAAATGATGAAACTTAATGAGAAGCAACAACTTATTGTTCAGCACATATATCACTTAGCAAAAACAAGAGATGAAGAAATGAATGAACCATCTCCTAAAATATTGTTATTAGGACCGGCTGGAACTGGAAAAAGTCTTGTTATGCAAACAATATATCAACTTTTAACACATTTTTATGATTTCACTCTTGGTCAAAATGAAGATTCAGCTAAGGTTTTATTAGCTGCTTACACAGGAGTTGCTGCATTTCTAATAGGTGGAAGCACTTGTCACAACGCATTCTGTTTAAAAGTTGGTTTCAAAGGAAGATCAATAGATGACGAAGGTCCCAAAAACAATATTAGATCTATTCATCGTGATGTTCAAGCAATAATAATAGATGAATGCTCTTTAATATCACGTGATCACCGGAAAAAAATTGATCAAAACTGTAGAATAATTTATGGTAATAAGCAAGATAGCTTTGGCGGGAAGATTGTAATGTTTGTTGAAGATCTTTTTCAACTACAACCAGTATGTGGTCTTGCAATCTATAAAACTATAGAAGATTTTGATAAAAAAAGAGTAATTTTGCCACGTGAATTATTTGAAGAACTCCAAGCAGACGTTGTATGGGATGAATTTAAGTTATTTGAATTGACTGAAATCGTTAGACAAAAGAATGTAAAGTTTCAAACAGCTCTTAATAATTTAGCAAGAGGAAAATTGACTGAGGATGATATTAAACTATTAAATGAAAGAGTTGTTAAAGATGAAAGCTTAATTCCAAAAGATGCTATTAGATTGTTTTACACAAACAAAGAAGTAATGAAATTTAATTTAAGAAAAATAAATGAAGTTAAAGGTACATTACATAAAGTTGATGCAATCGATGAGCTAAAAACAAAATGTACCAACGAAAAAGTTAAAAAAGCAATATTAAATGCCAATGGGTGCCGATGGTTCTTATTCTTCGAAAATGGTCCTTATTCTTCGAAATTGAAAATTCGAATTTGAATTTTTTTCAAAAAATGAAATTCCGTTAAAAATATTTCATCAAAAAATTATATTTGTTTACATCAGTAAAATTTTGATTAATTTTCATTAATTATGGGTAAAACCTGCAAAATTGCAAGCTGCAACAAAAATAAAACAATTACAAATCTTTTTAAAGTACCTAAGCACTCATTTAACAAAGATAAATGGTTGTTATTTTTAAAATCAAACAACATAAGTGTCGACGGAAGTGAAATTTCTGCTATAAGTGATTGTAACACATTCAAGACAAAATTTTCAGATATTGTTCTTAGTCAGGTTGAAATTCCATTTGAGCATTGTTCAAAGACTATTATAAATTTAATATTATTTTTTGTAACTTTTCGATCAAAACTTTAGCTTCATTGTCGATGGTTACATTCAAAAAACAAATTTGCGTCGAAGAATTGATTTTTGTTCATAAATAAATTTAACGGTCTTTAAAATTTCAAAATTTTTTATAAAAAATTATTTTTCGAATTTTTTCGAAACAGGTTTGAATTTTAGAAAAAATAACGGTCTACATTGTTGTAGGCACCCATTGGATTAAATGAATATGTGGATAAGCAAATATCAGATGCAGAATACAAAAGTATTTCTTCTACTAATTTAAGATTATTATTATTATTATTTATTGATTACTTCTTTTCATTACAAAGGAAAAGCCACTTCAAATAGAACAACAATCAGTCCCAATTTGAAATGGCATAAAAACCTTTGTGAATAAGATTAAATAACTTAATGACAAAATGGAAAAAGATGTGAGATTCATCGCTCAATGAGCATTAAAGATCTCACGTTAAACAATTTTTAACGGAAATTTAAAATTCAAACTTTAACGGTTAAAACAAATTTGAAAATTTTTGTGATGAAAGTATGAAGGGTAAGTTTTGTTGTTGTTGATTATTTTTAAATAAATAGAGAGAATTGTTATTAATCAATTAAATCAGCCAGGACAGCGACAGATGAAATCCAAAGAAATATCTAATGAACAGCAAAACAGACATCAAAAGTACGCCGATCAGCCATGGTAAATCGTTCCAATTAATATTTTTGTGTGATGAATATTAATATTTTCTTTTTTGTAGATTATTTTCCAAAAGATTTTAAGTAATCTCCGGACAGGAAGGATGACATCATTTTTTCATTGCGGATATAACATTTAAGTGCCCATTTAAATGCATGCATATGCGGTAAGTGCCTAATGTCCTGTGGAATACTTCTGTAGATTCCAACTCCAAAACTTGAAATTCTTTTTTGACCATATTTTGTTTTAGATTCTGACTTAATCAGGTCACCAGCCTGTCTTGTTCTGCTAGTAGATGCTACTCTTTCGAAGATAATGTTGGTGTGGATCTTATTTTTAATGTTATTGTAGACATATGTTGCTGAATTGACGAAATTGATGGCTCTTACTGGAAGACAGTTTTGGACAAGGTGAGCGTATAAATTAATTCTATTTTCTAGCATTTCAATATTGTACACGTGTCTTAAAGCACGATTTTGGACTTTCTGGATTGGGCTGATAACATTATCACATGCAGTGCCATATATTACGGACATGTAATTTAAGTGCGTTTCGAAGAGTGTATTGTATATTAATTTCTTAGTTGTTTGAGGTAATTTGTACCTTAGTTTCCATAAAATACCAGTTACAGAGGCTAGTTTAGATTCTAGAGCCTCACAATGTCTATCCCATTTGAGATGTTCATCCATCACTAGGCCTAAGTATTTTATTTGTGTGACAAGACAGATAGTTTCTTCTCGAATTTGAATGGTTTTGGGCTCATTAGTTTTCATGTATGGCGAATGAAAAACTATGAAGTTTGTTTTTGCATAGTTTAAATACAGTTTCTGAGCATCGAAAAATTCCAGTATCGTTCCCATATCCTTAGTAATTTTAACATCAATTTTTTCATTTTTATCATGACTATTGACAAGAATCGCATCATCAGCATATAAATATAATTTTCCATTAATCTTCAAGAATGCAATCTGATTGAAAAAAATTAAGAATAGGAGGCTCCCTAAGATTCCACCTTGCACGACTCCATAATCAATGTCCTTCTTATTACTGATTGCTGAGTTAATTTTAACAATTTGTTTTCTATTTCTTAGGTAGTTTTCTATTAGTTTAAGTGAATCACCGCGTATACCAGATAGATTTAGAGTGTGTATTAGGCAATCAACATTCACGAGATCAAAAGCTTTTCGTATATCCATGCTAACAGCACTAACTTTCTTTTTTTGGTCTAACAGACTCTTGATCTCTTCCACTAGTTCAAGGGCAGCAATTTCAGTTCCACTCTTGGCTCTAAATCCAAATTGTTTCGGTGACATAATTTTCGCTTTTAAGAAAACGAAATCATAAATTCTTTTGTATAGTGTTTTCTCGACGATTTTATTAAATACGGTGAGCATTGATATTGGTCGGTAATCGTTGATTGAAGTTTTATCACCAGATTTGTTGATAGGAATCACAAGGGCAGTTTTGAAGCATTCTGGGTAAACTGATGTCATATATATACGTTTAATCATGTGACAAAGTAAAGGGCAAAGTTCAGTTGAGAGATGTTTAACAATTATTGGGCAAATTCCGTCTATTCCAGGTGATGATTTTTTTAAGCTTTGGATTATTAGAGTTATTTCTTCTTCATCCACATCTTCAAGAAACATGTCTTGCATAACAGGTTCAAATTGAACGTTTTTGGAGCTTACTGGTGATTGACTTACAATGTCTGTTATGCTTGATATGAAATTGTCATTGAATGAGTTGGCTAATTCTAATTCATCCGTCACAATGTTTCCTTCTTTGTTAAATACTGCCTTTATGCTGTTCTCTTTAGTTCGACCTAGTATCTTATTGATATTCTTCCAAAGCTTTTTTGGATCAGGCTCATTGCATAAAGCTGAGTAGGATTTCTTTTCATCTGTATTAATGTGTTTTTTTAAATTTTTTGAGACTAATTTTAATTGTTTCTTGAGATTAAAAGTTGAATTTTGAAATGAAATTTTCCTTTTGATTTTTCTCAGTTTGTTAATGATTTTTTGTTTTTTATGAAGAAGCTTTAGACTTTGAAAACTTAGCCAGTTGCATGTACGATTTTCTTGTCTGGTATGAAATTTAAATTGGACTGTAGAATTTTTTATTGCTTGTTGCGTTAGCGACGTGATAGTTTCAGCAATGATGTTTGGATCCTTAAGATCAAAGATGTGTGCAGTCTGAATTTTTTGGAATTCCTGTTTTAGCTTGAAGAAGTTTACTCTGTTTACTACCTTTAACAGTTTACGATTTTTAATCTTAATGTCTTTGATTACTGATATAATCATATTGTGGTCACTGAAACTGCTATCGATACAAACTGTGTGGTTCTGTATTAGATTTGCTAAATGATGACTGCAAGCAAAATGATCGATTGTTTTGTTACTGGCATTTCTTGATGGATGTATGTTAGATACGCTCATGTCATAAGATTTTAAGATATTTCTATACGTCTTTGCATCGTTTGAGTTATCATTATCATTGCTGTTAATGTTTATATCACCAACTATTATTATCGATTGTTCATCT